ACTTTAGAAATTTCCCAATTTAAACAGTTTTTTACTTTGATTCATTGAAAAATGTATAAGTTACAAAATTTAAAAAAACTGACGACTACAAAAAACGAAGAGTGATTATTTTCTCATGAATCCCATCATCAGATCTTTACCAAATTTATATTATGGAACCATCTCTGAAGAGCCCCCTTTCTAACAAAAAAATAATCAGAAATCGGACAACATAGTAAAGAATTGTCGCTAAATATCCATAAAAAAATATATTCCGATGAATTGAGAACCTACTTCTTTTTTGAAGTCTGTTAAAAATAGAAAATACATTAGAAATATTTCCACAGTAAATGGGGTTTGCACACATGATAAAAACTAAACATATTTTTAATTATGTACTTCTATTTGAAAAATAATGTACAGTAGAAAGAAATGTACTTTTCCATGGTGTGACAAAAGTTTTAGTTTATATAAAAGGGACAAACTATATTTAAGTACTGTTGCTTTAAACCACAAATCACAGATTTTTAATTGAGCACTACTAGAAGGGTAGTTAAATGAGTATTCTCCTCTTTTTCCAGTGACTTATTGGAACCTTTTCTTCATTTAAGCCATTCTCTTTATTTTAAGAAATTATATTCATGTGTAAAACATTTTTTCTCTGAACCAACTGTCCTTGCTTCTGTCTATTAAAAATATGAGCCGATGTCGAAAAAAGATAGGGATAGTGTTAACATAGCCGTAAAGGTTGAGCCTCAATTTCATTTTTTACTTTATTTGTAATTAATTTTCGAAAAAATATTACCAAATTAACTTAATATAACTTAATATAAAAATCTCCCGTGATCAGCTGTGAAGCGACAGACTGTCAGTTGGAAAAGCGCCGTTGCCAGTTTTAATCTCAGTTAGTTATTTGTTCTTTAGCTAACGAGAGAGTTTAACAATCGTTCTTGCAACCCCCTGATAGTGATTTTTTTAATCAGTACCATCCTTGATTTGTTGGAAGGTGTTCCTTTTAATCAAAGACGTGATATGTTTTGGCAGCAAGATAGTTCACCAGCTCATAATGCACAAAGTGTGAGCCAATATTTGGCAAACACTTATGAAAACCGTGTTATACCTACGCATTCTCCAATTATCCAGTGACCGGCTAGGTCCCCTGATTTGTCGCCTCTAGATTTTTTTTCTGGGGTACTATAAAGGACGTATTATACGAAACAAAACCAGAGGACTTAGAAGATTTAAAAAATGGAATCAGACATGCTTATAACAGATTTACACCGGCCATGATTCGAGCTGCCTGTACTAAAAATGTATTATTATGGTTTGACAAATGTGTGAAAGTGGGAGGTGGGCAATTTGAGCACTTATTATAAGTTATTACTACTCTTTGTTTGTTGATATTTATTTCTTGTCTTATCCTTCTCTTGTTTCAATGTATTTTTTTAATTATGTGTCACCTAATAAAGTATTTTTTATCCTCATCATACAGTTTTATTTAATTTCTCACTTATTTATAGAGCGATTTTAAAAACAGTTGTACAGAGAAAAGTAGCGACTACAAAAATGAGCAGAAAAACTTAGGGTGTCGTTAATAATTTTTGAGGGTGTTGTTCCAGGGGGTAGTGTTTGAGGGTTAGTCGTCAAATTTATATTTTTTTACAAAGTACACATCCAATTATAATGGCTGACTTTTGTCCAGTTCGATTATCTTGTATGGTTTATAAGTTATAGCCTGGGAAAAACAATTTGGGACATCCTGTATAGGGTTGGGATAAAGTACGGAATGAAGCAAAATACCTTTACAATGGAAACAATTATATTGATGAAAGATTGCTCTATATGATCGATTTATAATTTGACTATGTACCACATTACAGATTGAATCAGCCGGGAAAAGTGATATAAATGTTTATTATTTCAGAAAATGTTTCTTTCCATTCCTCATTTTATCAAATAAAAACAACGCTTTTAGGAAAACACACAGCGTTTGAGTCTCTTAATAGCATTGGAATGTGTCAATAATGATTTGTAAACATATTTACATGCCTTTTTAATATTTTCTAATTCTTTTAGCTTATTTAGCCTATGTTTATATGATATTTTAGTTTTGAAATAAGTCAAAGCATTGTTCCCTTTCATATTTACATTTTTAAAAACATCCTGTATAAATGAACATAGATTTCAAACTAAAAGTAAATATTTATCTATTTATTTCTACACTTACCCACTCATACTAAAAACTTGTTTCTCTTTAACATACGCTGCTTACCTGAAAATAAAAAACAAAGGAAAATTAAGGTGTATTGCAATTATTTATTTAAGAAATCATAAAATTAATTTATTCCAATGGCTTAAACTCGTGTTCACTATTGAGAACTGCAAAATCAATACATTAGCACTGATTCCAAACAATATCCTTGAATTTTAAAGAAAAATTATACATAGATATGCAAGATATATCGATTTTCGCTAAAGATTTCAAGTTTAACTGTCATGAATAAATTACTTGGTTTTAAAGTTGGAATCTCGTGGAAATATTCGATGGAATTTTCATTTACTCTTTCTAGAAACTCATTGTTTTTTTTTTTACAGTATTTCTATAAGTACTTATTTTCTGATAAATCGATATTTCGTACCAAAGACAAATCCTGTCATTTAAACTACGACTTTGCCTTTGGCCTCAGTTCAGATAAGATGGAAACCACCAATTTGCGGCTCTCGCATTTTTGATGGTGAAATTATTGATTATATATTATTTGTTTTGTTATTTTTTTTGCTTCAGGTAACAATGTAAAAAAATTAAACACAATGTGTTCGCTTGTTCGGCCAGCAAACTTTTTATATTATTCTGTTTGCGGTTAAATATTTTAATAATAATTATTATTATTTTCACAAAATATATCCATTAAAAAAATCAACATAAAAATCAAGGGAATACCTATTTGTGTATTTAGAGCAAAAATGATATTTTGCCGCTTGAGACAGAAAGTTGGCCACGCGACGCGAAAAGTTTGGGGGGTTTTAGGGGTTTAAAACCTAATAGGTAGGTAGCTTTTCTGGCTCTACAATACATACCTGTAATCCATAGGTGCATTTACAATAATTCGATACCACTTTTTGTTAATAATATTCAAATATCAAGTCAAACCACAAACATCAAACTTTTAAAACAAAATTGTATTGAGAGTCAATACTGAAAACACCGTAGGGCTAAACCGTTTGTACGAGCTCATTCCTCTAACAGCAAGAGATGCTGCGATTCTTCGACTTAGTTTCTATCCAGACTATCCAGATGGTAGCACCTTACGGGCAATACATTTCTTAAAGAACGTTTCCAAAAATAAAAGACTGTATGTATTTTGCGTGTTAGGTGATGACGAAGAGAAGACTCCTTTAGGGGACTTACCGCTGTCTGACCCGGCTTCTGTGCCGGAGGAGGAAAAGGCCCCTATATCAAGGACTAATGGGTACATTTAAAAAACGAGAAGGTAGTCCAAGCAAATATACATCACTCTTGGGCGGCAACAGTTATCTTATAATAAAGCAAGATATTGATCTTGCTCTTATCTAAGAACCTGTTGTATACAGAATTAGAGTGTTGCATATATCAAGGGACTACGACATGATTCACTCAACGTTTGGACACCTAAGAACCTGCATTATTGCAAAGAAAAGCTTGAAGGTGTTTCTTTTATGGGAATTGTATATAAATTACCTAGTGACAATATCTCTTAAGCTAGATGGGGGAACCAATTTGATTGTTGGGTTCGTTTATCTGCCACATGACCAACCTGGGCTCCTCCAAACCTATAAGGTGACAGAGATTGAAATGGAAAAATTATACATTTATTTAAACTATACAGAAAATATATTTATACAAAAAAAACAGTGGCGTAGAAGATAAAATTAAGTTATGATATTACATTTTTGTCATATATTTTTTTGAATGTAATGCAGTTAAAATAAAAAGCATACATTAATGCTACTCTGCAAGAGACAGATTTTTACAAAAAAAAAGTGGCGTAGAAGGTGAAATTAACATGCAATTTATTATTTTGACATATATTTTCTGCAGGAAAACATGGTAAAAAGGCTAGAAAATAACAGTAATTTGAAGACCAAAGAGCTTTTTTAAAGTTATAGAGAAAAAGGCAAATAAAAACCCAGTGACGTGCAAAAGATAAAACGGAATATATCAACTTTGATTGTAACCATGGTACTCATCAAAGTGTGCCTCCGAACATAAGTAAATGGGCGCGTGTGGGCAAGTACCACACATATTAGCTGGGTAAGTTCTTTTTTTTTATTGTTGGTAGCAAACTCTACAAGATCCTCGTTTGCGACGAGATCCATGTACTTTTCCAGAAGAAATAAAAACATGTTTTTCTTCTTTTTTTTTGTTTGTTTTTTATTTTGAAACTGTTGCTTCATAGTTGTATATGTTGGAGAATATTTTGCAAGTAGGTCAAACACTTTTAGAACTCCAAAACACATACATCCTTGTTTTTAGCATGTGAATAGAAAACCTTGGCATTCAAAACCATACGCTGCATAACATGTAAACAGATAATGACAGATATTCTGTTCCATGAATATCCTGAACATAATATATGTCTTTTGCAAAATCGTGGTAAAATTATAACTGTATCCCCGCAAATCTGGATGGCTAGGAAAAGGTAAAACATTTTAATTCCAAAGCGTGCCCATTTTGTTTTAATAAATTGCTTAAAATGTAGTTGTCCTTTGTATAATACTAAACACTCATCTATTGTTACAGCTTCCCCTGGATCAACAAGATTCATACAATTTTCTTTAACCAAAGCAAAAAATATAGCCAAACGGGTAATGGGTCTACCTGGTAAGTAAGCTTGAGGATTACTAAATCTTAAAAACTTTAAAATAGCGAAAAACCGGAGAAAAAAATTGTTCCAATAGTCTCGTATAGTCTGATAACGTACTAGACCCATATAAAGCCATAACGAAAGAAAAGCATACATATCCGGAACTGTGACATTCTTCTAAACTAAATCGTAGACTTTTTGACTAGCATTCTCTATGAGCAATTTTCCCGCACGTTCATTCGTCCAATTACATAAAATCTGAATTATGTTTCTAGACAGAAATGCCCCAAAACAATTTACTGGGTCATTCATCTCCTCGAGTTCGATAGCGGGGTGAAAGCCTTCATAAAGACTGGAAAACGGCACTGTTGGTGTAGCTCTTTTATCCTAAAATAATATTAATTAGAGAAGAAAATAGAAAAATAAACTTATACAAAATCAACGTACCGAAAATGGATCTGCTACAACAATAAAGTCGCCTATGCTTGTAGCTGCTTGATCTTCTTTATCTGAAATACTCGATAAACTGTCATCGCTTTCGTTATCCGAATCAGATCCGCTAGACATATATTCAGAGCCCGAATCCTCAAATGGTTTATAATCACTCAAGTCGGACATCTTAATGCGTAGACAACAAAAATGTACCAAATACGGCAGCACCGCACCCGCGCAAGTAACTTCTAACACTGGAGACCACAGTGTATCCACTCTTACCGTCAAGGTCAATGCGTGTTAAGTTTCATACCCCCGCCGTCGTGAGGTCGCCACCGCCACCGTTTATAGGACACGCTTGTGCAGCGTTGCCAATAGCAATAATTTTACCCGATTTTTGGGTATTCCTAATTAACTTATGAACTTTTATGAATCGATTTAGAATTTATTAATGCAAGATTATAGCATTTTTGCCGTTTTTCATTTAGTAGTATCTACTATTGCTGAAAAGTCATGTTTTAAAATATTTTCATCGTCACTATTGCATTTATTGGTGACTTCAGGCGTTTGGGGTAAGTGATGAGAATTATCACCATTTGACCGTGACAACACTGCCTACTTTTTGTACTTGATACCTACATAACCACAAATATTTCTTATTTCTTTATTATTTTTATGAATTTTGTGAGTTATTTGTTTGTTTTTGAACTGATTGTTAAATAATAAAATGGAAATAAAACAGAAAGTCAATAGTGAAATGGAAATAAAGCACAAAATTAATACCACAGCATAAAGTTTATTTAATAGGCAGTGTCGCGATTAGTTTCGGCTTACATTGGTCAGTGACCACATACCACATGGAGGAAGGATTAATGTGACCACAGTACATTTGAGATAATGGATAAACTTTCAGTCATGATTGTAAAGTGTAAGTGTTCCAGGTTCCAGGTTGTTACATTATTTTAATGGTAAAATACGTCTTCTTGCTAATACAAGATACCTACAATATAAGAAATAATAAAAACCAGATAAAACTAAAAAAATGAAAACACTTGAATCCTTATTATTTTATCTTAATATTTTGCATGTACCTATTATTTACCTTATTACCTTATTTTTAGCTATTTTTAGTTTTAGTTAAAATAATACCTGAAATTTACATTTTATAAATAAATCGTTATAAATATAATAAATGGTTTCATTTCATAAAAAAATGTAGCACCAAAATATGATTAAACCATTATAGTTACGATTTGTTTGCTTATTGTAATCAAATCTCAACTTTAATGGCACACATAATAACCACGTTCAAAGCGTGCTTCCAAAAAATTATTCAGACATTCAAAAATTGCCGCCATCGTTTAGTTTAAACCCCCACCACTGTGAGGGCGCTGAAATCAGCTACGAAAATTATACATTGAGTGTACTGTCTATAAACAATATATAAAAGGTCTGTGCTGGAGACCGTCAAAAATAGGTATGCAGCCGATAAGTGCATTTGACCTTGAGCTAGCCAATCAAATTTAATCTCTCCCACTCAAGTATTCTATCCCAAGGTAATACTACTCAACTACGATATTGTCCCAACGTTTCTGTAAAACAAAACATTTGTTGCCACAAGTGGCAATCTGGGCTATAGATCAGTATGAGTTTGTTGCCACAGTGGCAACATGGGCTTGAAGGGGTTAACTGAAAATAACCAGTTTCTTACTATAATAGATAATATAGAAGGCTAATCAAACAGGCTAGGTAATATTGGGAACTGATCAAGACACTAACTGCAACTGCATGTCTTATATTCATACCAAATCTTAGGTAGGTCTTATAATCCCACCCCTTTTTATCATTCTGGTTTTTCCATAGCAACAGTAATCTCCAAGAAGATGATAAAATAACGATTAACCCTTAGATTATAGATTTCTATAATCCAAGGATTTATCCCATTTACATTTTTAATACAATTACAGTAACATTTATATATTTTGCACCCTCAGATTACTTTCTATAATCTAAGCTGAAACTTTTCTCTCCACTTGTCATTAACTTTCACCTTGATATCAAAAATTTTCAAGAAGTCAATGTTAGCTCCTGTTACAAATTACCTTGTATAATATGGAAAAGTTTCTGGATTTGTTTAGGGACTGAGCTACTTCCAGAGAGAGCATATTGAATTTTATTTATCTTTTTCATGTATTGAAAATATGACAAATTCTCTAGTTTTAATTTAATTTTGTAGGAGGATGGGTGGCTCAGTGGTGCTGTGCCTGCGGATCCAAGGGTCTCAGGTTCGAATCCCACCGTTGGCCAGGATTTTTTATTTAATTTAATTATTTAAAACTAATTCTGATGCCTTGGTAGGATCCCTCACTCAACCATTTACTGTTGGGTTCTAATTAACAGTGCTGTTCCTAAAGTGGTGCAAGGAAACAGTAATAACAAGGCCTGTCTGTAGGGGTGTAGGAGTATTAGAGTACTATGAAGTATTAGACTACTAGTACAAGCCATCCTTGCGTTAGTAGAAAAAATAAACAAAGCTCTAAATAAAGGTAGATAATGTATGTGTGTATTTATGGATCTTACAAAAGCTTTTGGTACTGTAAGTCATGAGCTACTCCTACAGTCTCTTAAAGATATGGGAATAAGAGGAAACAGCCAAAAAATGTTTAAAAGCTACCTCACAAATAGAAGGCAGATTGTTAGGGTTGCTAATAAAACGAGTAACTCTGAAATACTAGATAATTGTGTTCCTCAGGGTACTGTTCTTGGGCCTATACTTTTTAAATCATATATAAATGGACTTTTGTTCAATACAAAGCTGCGGTGAAATAATTAGATTTGTTGATGACACAGTAATATTTTATGAGGGACAAGACTGGAATACTCTAAAAACAGTTGCTGCAAATGATTTCGCTTCTATTAAACAATTCTTAGACTCAAAATTACTGACGCTAAATCTAGAAAAAACAAAATACTTTCCATCAGTTGCAATGCAGGTGGATTACCAGAATTTCGAAGTTTAAAGATCACTAGCAATGGAAAAGTGTATTTTATATGAAAAAGAATATAAGTATCTTGGCGTATATATTGATAGACATTTAAAATGGGATTGTCACATAAATTATACAGTTAAAAAGCTACAAATTATTTTCTATAAATTTAAATTTTTAAAAAAACATTTGCCCCTAGAACAACTTCGAACTTTATAATATTCCCTTGTAGAAAGTCATATACGTTATGGTATTGTAGCATGAGGTAGTGCTCGGCATAGTCACATTAATAACCTAGAAATAATACAACGCAGATTTTTGAAATTAATAATGAATAAAAAATTTAGATACTCATCAGATATTCTTTACGAAGAAAGTAAAATATTAGATATAAGAAAAATGTACTTTGTTTTCACCAATCTAAAATATTATCCTACTAGACTCACAGCTACAATACCATCTCATACTTACTCAACCCGGAATAGATCAAACCATATTGTACCCTTGGTGGAAAGATATTTAACTCAACGGTCTTTTTCATATCTAGGACCTAAGATGTATAATCACTTACCAGAGGAAGTGCAATCCAAGGTTACTTTCCATTTGTTCACGAAATACTTAAAAATATTTACTTTTATTACCCCAAAAAAATATATTTCAGATCTAATCGAAAATAAAACCTAAAAAGTACTCATTATTTAAGAAGGATTGATGTTTTCGTATTCTAATTTATCAAGCAATATTTATATTAGACAATTCGATGGTATGATCCATTTCTGTTTCTTTCTTAATTTTTTACTTTCCTATACGGATTTTTACGTTTTGATGTCCCCTGAATCCGTTTTGACTATTTTCGCGATGATGTCTGTGTGTGTGTGTGTGTGTGTGTGTGTGTGTGTGTGTGTGTGTGTGTGTGTGTGTGTGTGTGTGTGTGTGTGTGTGTGTGTGTGTGTGTGTGTGTGTGTGTGTGTGTGTGTGTGTGTGTGTGTGTGTGTGTGTGTGTGTGTGTGTGTGTGTGTGTGTGTGTGTGTGTGTGTGTGTGTGTGTGTGTGTGTGTGTGTGTGTGTGTGTGTGTGTGTGTGTGTGTGTGTGTGTGTGTGTGTGTGTGTGTGTGTGTGTGTGTGTGTGTGTGTGTGTGTGTGTGTGTGTGTGTGTGTGTGTGTGTGTGTGTGTGTGTGTGTGTGTGTGTGTGTGTGTGTGTGTGTGTGTGTGTGTGTGTGTGTGTGTGTGTGTGTGTGTGTGTGTGTGTGTGTGTGTGTGTGTGTGTGTGTGTGTGTGTGTGTGTGTGTGTGTGTGTGTGTGTGTGTGTGTGTGTGTGTGTGTGTGTGTGTGTGTGTGTGTGTGTGTGTGTGTGTGTGTGTGTGTGTGTGTGTGTGTGTGTGTGTGTGTGTGTGTGTGTGTGTGTGTGTGTGTGTGTGTGTGTGTGTGTGTGTGTGTGTGTGTGTGTGTGTGTGTGTGTGTGTGTGTGTGTGTGTGTGTGTGTGTGTGTGTGTGTGTGTGTGTGTGTGTGTGTGTGTGTGTGTGTGTGTGTGTGTGTGTGTGTGTGTGTGTGTGTGTGTGTGTGTGTGTGTGTGTGTGTGTGTGTGTGTGTGTGTGTGTGTGTGTGTGTGTGTGTGTGTGTGTGTGTGTGTGTGTGTGTGTGTGTGTGTGTGTGTGTGTGTGTGTGTGTGTGTGTGTGTGTGTGTGTGTGTGTGTGTGTGTGTGTGTGTGTGTGTGTGTGTGTGTGTGTGTGTGTGTGTGTGTGTGTGTGTGTGTGTGTGTGTGTGTGTGTGTGTGTGTGTGTGTGTGTGTGTGTGTGTGTGTGTGTGTGTGTGTGTGTGTGTGTGTGTGTGTGTGTGTGTGTGTGTGTGTGTGTGTGTGTGTGTGTGTGTGTGTGTGTGTGTGTGTGTGTGTGTGTGTGTGTGTGTGTGTGTGTGTGTGTGTGTGTGTGTGTGTGTGTGTGTGTGTGTGTGTGTGTGTGTGTGTGTGTGTGTGTGTGTGTGTGTGTGTGTGTGTGTGTGTGTGTGTGTGTGTGTGTGTGTGTGTGTGTGTGTGTGTGTGTGTGTGTGTGTGTGTGTGTGTGTGTGTGTGTGTGTGTGTGTGTGTGTGTGTGTGTGTGTGTGTGTGTGTGTGTGTGTGTGTGTGTGTGTGTGTGTGTGTGTGTGTGTGTGTGTGTGTGTGTGTGTGTGTGTGTGTGTGTGTGTGTGTGTGTGTGTGTGT